GAAGTTTTAAGAAAGAAACCATATACAAAAGCATCAGATATATACAGTTTTGGTGTTCTTATGTCTGTTATATCAACTGGCCAGCAACCATTTAATAATTTGGCACATGATCTAGACCTTGCAATGAAAATATGTGAAGGTGTAAGACCAGGTTTCTCAAACAACACACCAAAATTCTATATTGAACTAGCATTCAGATGCATGGATGCTAATCCAGATAAACGTCCAACTGCTGAAGAAATTGATGAGATTATTGGCCTTTGGGATGAATCACTTAATGGCCATCATATAATGAATAATCCAGAAATTTATGGACATTCAAAAGAACAGGATGAATTAGAATCAATTAGAGAAGTGTTTAATAAAATGGACAAAATAAAATTTGATCCTTTGACAATTACTGCAAAAATTCATCCAAATGCTGTTTATACTAGCAGGCTATTAAAATTTACAAGTCTTCCCCAACCCATGAATTCCAATAAAGTGACAATTATTGATAATAATAATGGTAATTATTAGCATTTAATTATTAACTATTTTCATTTTTTTATTAATGTTTAAAATTTATAATTATTTTTGTAGATTCTAAGCAAATTGAATTAACTATTTTTGAAGATTCTCAACAGCTTGAATTAGTTATACCAGATTAATTACCCAAATAAGTTAATCTTGTCATTTACTATATATTAAAATTATTTATTATTTTATTTATTTATTTGGTGTGATTAAATATCTTAAGATAAATGGCTATTTATATTTAAGTGGTAAAAATAATTGTCATATATTTGAAATATTTTTTTCATTTGAAATTTTGATGTCAAATATGCACATTCAATAATTTTGTTGTTTGATTTTTGGGCTGCTGTATATTTAAAAATATAAAATTTTGTTTATGTGACGAAATATTTATTTATATTAATATATGTAAATAAGACATAAAAGATTGAGATATTAAGAGCGAGAAAAGGTATAATTACTAGTGACATTACCTGGACTTGCATTCCCTATTTTTGGATCAAAATATAATGAGCAAAAGAAAAAAATTTATGTTGGATCTTTTGTTTAATGCCATAAATCAGATCTTGTCACATGTCTGGCATATGACTGGACGATATTCGATAAATCCAAAGATAATTTTCTTTTTTATAAATATCTTTTAAACCTTTAATAATATATATAATAAAGAAAAAAGAAATTTTTTTACATTCCAAGACACATATTAAAACAACAACAACAACAACAACAACAACAACAAAAAAGTATATTTGGCAGAACAAAAAAAGGCAACCTAATTCAAATGAATTGGATGGGCAAAATCTAGGTCTAAACGACAAATTACCTTCTCAATTCATACAAATAGAGATCCTTTGACAAAAGTAACAAGAGCGAAGGAATGCGAACGTCTAAACAGAGAAAATAAAAAAGTCACAACTAACCCTTTAAGCTATTTCAACGACTAACAGATTCATCCCAAATGGAAAAAATATTCCAGTCACACCAATAGACTCATCAACACCAATGGACTCTGGATGTTGACAACACATCAATAGATACCAACACAAAAATGAACATTGATATATATCAACCAATTCTCCAATCCAAAGAAGGACTCATGTTAATATGAAGAGCCGTATATTAGAAGCAAAGAATATGGGGAATGTACTGCCTGTAATAAATATAATACCTATTATTCATGGTGTCAATCATGTGACCCAAAGCTATTAACTGAAGGATGGACTAGTGGCAATGAAACATTAGATGAGTTGATTAAAAGCACACAACTTAAATCAACCAAGTATCATTATAGTAATTATCTTCAATGGATTCCTTATAATGATTTAACAAATATTGAAAAGATGGGTGAAGATAGCTTTGCAACCATATCCAAAGCTACTTGGTTAAATGGTTATAAAAGTGTAAATTATCAAAATAATAAGAGGACTAGTAAAGATATGCCTGTGGCATTAAAAAAACTACATAATTCACAGAATATTTCTGATGAATTTCTTAATGAGGTAAATATTTTTTAAAAATATTATTGATTATTGTTGTTGTAATTAAATATTTTATTTGTTTTTTTAGTTCAAAAATTATACAAAGTTCCATGATAAAATTTATATTTATGGATTAACGCAAGACCCAATTACAAAAGAATATATCTTTGTAATGCATTACATGGAAGTTGGAAGCCTTCAAAATGATGAATATTCAAATAAAAGAAAAGAACGTTGTGGGGAATGTCCAATTTGCTATAGATATAATACTAGTGATTCATGGTGCCAATCATGCAATCCAAAGCAATTAACTGAAGGATGGACTAGTGGCAATAAAACATTAGATGAGTTAATTAAGAACACATTACTTAAATCAAATACATATAATAATTATTATTATCTTCAATGGATTCCTTATGATGATTTAACAAATATTGAAAAGATAGGTGAAGGTGGTTTTGCAACTGTATACAAAGCTATTTGGTTAAATGGTCATAAATTTGCAAGTGGTGAAAGAAAAGGTAGTGAAGATAGGGTTGTGGCATTAAAAAAACTACATAATTCACAGAATATTTCTGATGAATTTCTTAACGAGGTAAATTATTTTATTAATAATGGTTTTAGATTTTTTTGATAATTATCATAATTAAATATTTTATTGCCATTTTAGTTCAAAAATTATACAAAGTTTCACAATAAAGAATTGAATAAAATAATTCAAATCTATGGATTATCACAGGATCCAATTACAAAAGAATATATATTTGTGATGCAATATATGAATAATGGAAGTCTTCAAGATTATTTAACAAAAGATTTTAAAAATTTAAATTGGAAAGAAAAAATTAAAATTCTTGCTAGCATTATTATTGGATTAAAAGATATTCATAAAGAAGATATTATTCATCATGACTTTCATAGTGGCAATATTCTTCAAGTTAATTTGGTTTCATATATTGCAGACTTAGGATTATCATGCTCAGCTAGTCAAACATCCACATCAAACAAAAATGATATATTTGGAGTATTACCATATGTTGCACCAGAAGTTTTAAGAAAGAAACCATATACAAAAGCATCAGATATATACAGTTTTGGTGTTCTTATGTCTGTTATATCAACTGGCCAGCAACCATTTAATAATTTGGCACATGATCTAGACCTTGCAATGAAAATATGTGAAGGTGTAAGACCAGGTTTCTCAAACAACACACCAAAATTCTATATTGAACTAGCATTCAGATGCATGGATGCTAATCCAGATAAACGTCCAACTGCTGAAGAAATTGATGAGATTATTGGCCTTTGGGATGAATCACTTAATGGCCATCATATAATGAATAATCCAGAAATTTATGGACATTCAAAAGAACAGGATGAATTAGAATCAATTAGAGAAGTGTTTAATAAAATGGACAAAATAAAATTTGATCCTTTGACAATTACTGCAAAAATTCATCCAAATGCTGTTTATACTAGCAGGCTATTAAAATTTACAAGTCTTCCCCAACCCATGAATTCCAATAAAGTGACAATTATTGATAATAATAATGGTAATTATTAGCATTTAATTATTAACTATTTTCATTTTTTTATTAATGTTTAAAATTTATAATTATTTTTGTAGATTCTAAGCAAATTGAATTAACTATTTTTGAAGATTCTCAACAGCTTGAATTAGTTATACCAGATTAATTACCCAAATAAGTTAATCTTGTCATTTACTATATATTAAAATTATTTATTATTTTATTTATTTATTTGGTGTGATTAAATATCTTAAGATAAATGGCTATTTATATTTAAGTGGTAAAAATAATTGTCATATATTTGAAATATTTTTTTCATTTGAAATTTTGATGTCAAATATGCACATTCAATAATTTTGTTGTTTGATTTTTGGGCTGCTGTATATTTAAAAATATAAAATTTTGTTTATGTGACGAAATATTTATTTATATTAATATATGTAAATAAGACATAAAAGATTGAGATATTAAGAGCGAGAAAAGGTATAATTACTAGTGACATTACCTGGACTTGCATTCCCTATTTTTGGATCAAAATATAATGAGCAAAAGAAAAAAATTTATGTTGGATCTTTTGTTTAATGCCATAAATCAGATCTTGTACTAATGGTTTCATGCTTTATTGATTTTTTCCTCGATTCAAGCATCCAATCTGGAACTAGGTCACAGATTATTACAATTGAGGTAACATCTGGGTAAACGTCCAATTGCTGAAGAAATTCAAAAAATTCTTGGTTCTTGGTGTGGTGTAGCATGTTGTCCTGCTTTGAAGACGAAGAAGCACATTCAAAAGCAATTTGATAAAATGGATAAGATTAAATATGTTCCTTCAACAGCAGTTCATCTAAATGTTGTTTACTAGCAGATTATTAAAGTTTGAAAATCTATCAATTCCAATAGTCATTGGTAATTATGGTAATTATTAACATTTCATTGTTTTTATTTATTTAAGTTTAATATCAACCAACACTAATAATAGATTTCGCAACAGATTGAACTTTCTATACTAGCCGACTTGCCTATTTAAATGCAAATAATTTATTTATTAAAATTATTAATTAGATTTCTGGCATTATTGATGATAATAATAATAAAGGAAAGGGTATTGCAAAGATTGTCGAAGTTGACAAAACTAGTGAGGTTAATAAAATGGCCAAAGAACATCAATGTATTGTTATCAATAAAATGATGATTGCTAAAAATCTTCAAACAAATGAAATTCTACAAAACGAAATCAATAATAAATAAATCCAGTGATTCTGAAAATGTATTAATCAATTGTTTTTTTTTATAGTTGGAAGTTATTACAAACAACTGAGGGCAATTATCATTATCATTTAGAATATACTCTTAGAATTATTTTACTTGTTGAATACGAATTTATTTTAGAAATATGGATGGTTAATCGTTATTACTATTTTAAAAATATAATATACATAATCATCATTATTAATAATTTTAAAAACATTTAAAACATTTAGTTTTGAAAATTTTTCTCATAAACAACATTTCCATTAAATATAGTAGATAAGACTTTGATGTTTGGTATTTCTTGTTCTGGTATTTTCATAATATCTTTATCAATCACTATAAAATCTGCGTATTTCCCTATTTTTATTGACCCCAACTGAAAATATATATATGTAAGTGCTAATAATTATCTTTATGTAAAAGAAATTTTTATAACAAATAAGCATACAATATCTTCACAAAATCCAGCATAAGCAGCATCAATGGTGAAACCACGTAATGTTTCTTTTCTCGTCAAACATTCTGATTCAAACCATCCTTTTTCACCATGTGGCTATTTTATGTATTAAATAATAATAATAATAAATTTTTTATGTTTTTTTCTAAAGATAAAAAAATTATAAATAGTAACAGTAAAGTCTTACAGATTTTCCATTTGTCCATTTTCTTGTGATTGCAGAATAAAATCCTAAAAATGGATTTACAGACTCTATAGGGAAATCTGAAGAAAGTGGAAATCTTTTAACTCTAGAGAAAAAAAATTAAAATTAAAAATAATACAATGAAATTTGTTGTTTATTTTAAATTATAGCATATATCTGTATATAAGTGAATGTATTGGTATATTTAACACTTTTTACCCAGAATTAATTAAAGACCTCCAAGCATATGCGCCTTTTATACGTTCAGGACCCAATCTTTGTTCAGCATATGACATATCAGAAGTTGCTAAAATAACAATAATTTCGCACTTATATCAATTCTTCTTTTTAGTAATAATGATGATGATGAATAACTTACCATGAGTTGGTTGCATTGATGGAATTATGTTTAATTCTCCCATCCGTTTAATATCTTTTTGTGTCTATAAATAAAATAATACATAATACTGATATTTTAACTCCGAATTTCTTTGTAAAAAAATAATAATAAATTACCAATATCTGTGCATGTTCGATTCTAAATCTTAATTTATCTCCTAATCTTCTAATCTCTTCTTTTAATTGTTCTTCTAATAATTCATTAGAATTATTTGGACTAGACTTGATAATGTAATCTTTAAAACTTTTCTCGTATGCATCAATAATAATCTGATTTGCTTTATCTCCAATACAATGCGTATTTACTTGAAATCCCTAAAATATGTGCAAAGCTTTCGTAAATATTTATGGATGCATATATGTGTAGTAAAATAATAAATATACAATTAAGTAATTAAATCCTATTTTTGCACCTTTTCAATCCATTGATTAATTACAGTAGTTAATAAAGAAGGATCGGAGAGTAACAAGCCTTGTTTTGTTGGATCGTCTATTCATAATTTATGTGAAATTTATATTAGAGAAGAAAAACTATGATTTCTATAATTTTATTAATTAATTAAATTATATATAAACATTTATACCAGAATATGGTTCTAATAATGCTGTTAAAAGAAAAAAAAATTATAAATATTCCAAATAAAATCTTAAAAATTCTATTATAACGATAAATTCCTTACCAGCTCCCCAACTTCCCAATGCCCCATCCATCACCAATTTAACGCTTCTTACAAATAATCTCCCATCGCCTATTCCATCAATTCGTTTTACTTGGTCACCACAATAAACATTTCGTGGACTCTCAACCATTGCATAATTCCTAATATTAAAATTTTCAGGATTTTCTAAAATAATTCTAGATGGTGCAAGTGAAGGAAAAAATTAACTTTGTTGCATTATTTAATTAAAATATTAGATATCAAGATAATCTTACTTTTCAAAAAAATTTATTAATCTTAATTCGACACATGCATCATGAACTCCCGTTAAACCGTTCTCATGCATTTTTGAAATTGCTCCCTTTATTTGTGTAAATAATGTTGATTCAGATGGCGATGGTTATAGGGAAATCTGAAGAAAGTGGAAATCTTTTAACTCTAGAGAAAAAAAATTAAAATTAAAAATAATACAATGAAATTTGTTGTTTATTTTAAATTATAGCATATATCTGTATATAAGTGAATGTATTGGTATATTTAACACTTTTTACCCAGAATTAATTAAAGACCTCCAAGCATATGCGCCTTTTATACGTTCAGGACCCAATCTTTGTTCAGCATATGACATATCAGAAGTTGCTAAAATAACAATAATTTCGCACTTATATCAATTCTTCTTTTTAGTAATAATGATGATGATGAATAACTTACCATGAGTTGGTTGCATTGATGGAATTATGTTTAATTCTCCCATCCGTTTAATATCTTTTTGTGTCTATAAATAAAATAATACATAATACTGATATTTTAACTCCGAATTTCTTTGTAAAAAAATAATAATAAATTACCAATATCTGTGCATGTTCGATTCTAAATCTTAATTTATCTCCTAATCTTCTAATCTCTTCTTTTAATTGTTCTTCTAATAATTCATTAGAATTATTTGGACTAGACTTGATAATGTAATCTTTAAAACTTTTCTCGTATGCATCAATAATAATCTGATTTGCTTTATCTCCAATACAATGCGTATTTACTTGAAATCCCTAAAATATGTGCAAAGCTTTCGTAAATATTTATGGATGCATATATGTGTAGTAAAATAATAAATATACAATTAAGTAATTAAATCCTATTTTTGCACCTTTTCAATCCATTGATTAATTACAGTAGTTAATAAAGAAGGATCGGAGAGTAACAAGCCTTGTTTTGTTGGATCGTCTATTCATAATTTATGTGAAATTTATATTAGAGAAGAAAAACTATGATTTCTATAATTTTATTAATTAATTAAATTATATATAAACATTTATACCAGAATATGGTTCTAATAATGCTGTTAAAAGAAAAAAAAATTATAAATATTCCAAATAAAATCTTAAAAATTCTATTATAACGATAAATTCCTTACCAGCTCCCCAACTTCCCAATGCCCCATCCATCACCAATTTAACGCTTCTTACAAATAATCTCCCATCGCCTATTCCATCAATTCGTTTTACTTGGTCACCACAATAAACATTTCGTGGACTCTCAACCATTGCATAATTCCTAATATTAAAATTTTCAGGATTTTCTAAAATAATTCTAGATGGTGCAAGTGAAGGAAAAAATTAACTTTGTTGCATTATTTAATTAAAATATTAGATATCAAGATAATCTTACTTTTCAAAAAAATTTATTAATCTTAATTCGACACATGCATCATGAACTCCCGTTAAACCGTTCTCATGCATTTTTGAAATTGCTCCCTTTATTTGTGTAAATAATGTTGATTCAGATGGCGATGGTACTAATTTATCTACCATCAATCAACAAATAAAGTAATAAAAATTTGTTATTCGTTATTTATTATTATTTAATATTTAATGTTTAATAATATCAAGTGTTGATTAATTAATTAATATTAATATTATAGCCAACCAATCAATTCAATTGCATTATCTATGAAAATTCCAGTCAATTCATTAGTTTCTTTATCTCTGCATATCTCACCACCTTCAATTTCTTCAGGTAAATTATTATTTTCTTGAAGTATGTCTAGAGTCTTCTTATTAACCCATACTGCGTGTCCATCAATTCGTGTTAATAAAATTGAAAATTTTGATAAAATTGGATCGGAATCTAAATCATTCTAAAATTTATAATATATTTATAAACATAAATATATGATCATGTGAATTATTTATAAAAAAAAAAATTCGTTCACTTACATGAGTAGGAAATAATTTAGATGGCCAAAGTGTTTGATCCCATCCCCGTCCTTTTATCCACTGAATTTCAGAAGAATCTTTCTCACTCGAACGAATTGATAAATACTCGTGAATTCTCTCGCGCACCTCTTCACACATAAAGAAATCATCAGATTATCACAACATCATTATAATTATAATTATTATGATCATTATGATTACCTTGTGTGGATTTTGCACCAACAAGATCTACAGATAATAAAGATTCACCAAGGTTCGATAAATGCTAATTTTTATTTCATCGAGATCAAAATATAGTTAATAAATTATAATACTTTAGTAACATAATTTACATACTGCATGAGCATCGATTAAACCAGGTAAGATTGTTTTTCCATTTAAATTTATATGCTAAAAATAAATATTTAAAGAAAATATTTTGAAAATTAAAAAAAAATCAAATCATTTATTTAACTTTTTATTTGATTAATTACTTTAAAATCTTTCCATTTTTCCAAGATTAAAGATGATGAACCAACATCCACAAAAATATTTTTCAACACTACTAATGAATCAACAACATTTGGTAAAGAATCATTATCATCCTCGACTGTATAAATATTTGCATTATAAATTACGTATCCATGTTCACTTTGTAAATTTTCTCTGATAAATATAATAAAATAATTTTACTTTTTAATTACTCATAATTAAATATATGTTAATATTAATATATATATATTACATACGACAACGACATTATTTTTGAAATTTCAGATAAAAAACTAATCCTTATTTAGATTGGTTATCACGTGACAATCAAAATTCATTTTTAACAAAATATCTTTTATATTATTGATAAATTAAAGACTGAATCTTCTTGATTGAAAAAAAATTTATTATTATTTTTTGTTTAATTCAATGATTCGCTTAAATTACATATTGGAAATGAAAAAATATCATTAATTATTTTTTTCAGGTAATTCACCACACTTAGTAATTATAACTTCTTTTTGAGGAGTTCCGTCTGATGAACCCAATTTTTCAATCTCAGTAACTACAGTCATTCCTAAATAATCAAATAACGAATAAATAAGCAAATAAATTAAAATATTTCAAAATAATTAACTAATTAAATGAATAACTATTACCTTCAGTAACATGACCAAAGACAACATGCTTTTTATCCAACCAAGAAGTCTTTACAGTGCAAATAAAAAATTGAGACCCATTGGTGTTAGGTCCAGAATTTGCCATGGAAAGAACACCTATACATGTAATAACATTGACAAAATGATAAAATGAATGATGATAAATGAGATATTATTTAAACATACTTTCTATGTGTGTGTGTGTGTGTATATATATGCATAATGAATGGCAACTATTTACCAGGGCCGGTATGCTTCAATGTAAAGTTTTCATCAGGGAATTTTGCACCATAGATGGATTTCCCGCCTCTACCATCACCTCTCTCAAAGTCACCGCCTTGAAGCATGAATTGGGGAATGATACGATGAAATTTGGAACCTTCGTATCTAAGTTTTGGATCATCACCGACACATAAAACTCTGAAATTTTCAGCTAAAATGATTATTTTTTATGAGAAAGAAAAATAATAAGAATGAGAATGAGAGCAAGGAATCATAACAATAAGGATGTATTGTTTAAAAATTAGTTAATTAAATTTAATTTTACCAGTTTTGGGAGCAACATCTTTTCTCAATTCAATAACAATACGCTAAAATAATATTAACAGTATTAAATTAAAAAATTACATAAATAAAAATAAATGATTTAATTAATTACCCCTAAATATTGTGCTTTTGCATCGTTTTTTCCTTTGGTACTAATATCAAGAAAAACTTTTGGATTTGACATCGTTAAAATAATTAAAAAAATAATGTAAAAAAAATTTTTTTTTATAAAGGAAAAAAAAGTTGTAGTACCAAATAATTTAATGTACACATTTAATCTATTACTATCAAGATTTAACTAGGACCCGAAAAAACATGGGGCCAAACACTCAATTTTAAGTATGCAAAAACTTGTTTGAAACAGGCAGACTCGGAGCTCTTCATCGTACCCGCCCATCAATTAATCGATTGGGTGGGTGGGACATCTAATATCCTTCTTATTGATCTTATCGATCTCTGGGGTAACTCACTAAAATTGACAGATCAGCTTTGAGACTATATTATATACTTATCCTTCCCCAGGCTAAAGCTTTATCCTTACGTTTGTAGTCTGTCCTTTTGGGAATTGTCCACGTGCTATGATATGTAAATTCTGAACCTTTAATTTATGTAAAAATTCAATGTATTGATGGGAATTTCTAAAGACAGTGCTCATCCCATGTACCTAATGCGGAGTTTACAAGTTTTTCATTGACTAATTTACGAAATATGCATGATAATAGCAAATTTAGTCTTCAAAATGACTTCTATTTTATTTAACGTAATTTGCCAACTTTAGTATGAATGAATACCCAAGATTAATAGTACCAGTACTAGTGGTCCAAGATTGATTTATAATTCCGATTAAGCTATACAGTATGACTCAAAAAAACTAGTTTTCACAAAAACACAAGAAACTTAAAAGTATAATAATGTAAAAGGCTATTTTACATTTTTGGATGGATCAATCCAGATCTTTTGACAGAGAACATGTGTGGTACATTATGAATGTCGAAAAAACATTTATTATCATCTGAGCGTGTAAATGGAAGAATTACATATACATAAATAATAATATTTTTTTAGTCAATGTTAAAAATCATAATATGCCCAACAAAAAGGTCAAGTTTGTTTATGCAAAAAAATCATTTCACCATCAATCATTATGCGATGTTTTCGCGATACGAAGAAGTTTTACATGCAATGAAAAAAAACCAAATAATTAAATATATAATACATGCACCTAAGATCTTTCGCACTGTTAAGAAATCTTTGCTAAAATTGGCATGTAAATTTAAAAACTTGGCAAACAATATTTTTGAAATTTACAACGATATGCTTTCATAACAGTGGAATTGATTGAGAGAGAGAAAGAGAAGAAAAGAGTGCTGCTGTGTTATATTTTCAGACATATTAGAAAATAAAAAATGTGCTTTAAAGGCTCGTCCGCCTCTCTCTCTCAGGAACTTATTTAGCCTTTGCTATATGGAAAATCTATCAATTTTCACTTTTTGCTGTTGTTCTGGAACTAGTCTTACAACAATCATTTTTATGTTTCGTGAACGATAATAACACCATGTACTTTTCACAACTCCTTTATCCTTTCTTAAGTAAAGAAGGAGACGATATATGGAAAATCAAAAAGTCTTTGGAAATTTCCTTGGTGCCGCTGACTAAACGTTCAGGTAGTAAATGGTGAGGACATTTACCATGTTAGGAAAAAAGAAGATATTTACCATGTTAAGATAATAATATAATCGGTAACGTAACAAAAACTAAAAAAAGAATTGCAAAATAGTAAGAGAAAATAAGAAACGAAAATAAAATCTTTATAGTAATGTTTAGAATATTTAAATAATAATTTTTTATTAAGCCCTATTATTATTACAATTATTACCATCAAGAATATTCCTCTATACAACAAAATAATAATAATAATAATAATAATAATAATAATAATTTTTTTTTTAATTTTAATTGTCAATTTTTTTTTAATATCGTTATTAATTTAAATTAAGCAATGATTTTTCTTGAATTTTTGATTGTTTTGTGATGAACTGATAATAGTAATCGTAATCGTAATATAATCCCAATTAATCCCAATTAGCAAAAAAGATTACGAGGATGTGTTAGATGAAGAAGAAGCATTAATGTTGTTAAAAATTGAATTTATTCCAATAGAATTGATGTTGTTAGTGTTTCTACTAGTATTGGCAATTGTTGTTAAAGTTGTTATAGTGTTAGTTCCAACATTGACAGTATTCGTAGTAGCAGCATTTACAGCAATTCTATTTCCAATATTAGCATTAATAATTACATTATTATTATTTCCATTAGTAGCATTATTTCCATTATTAATAGTTCCAAACATAGCATCATCATCATCATCATCATCGTCCTCTTCACCGAAATTTTCTCTGTCAGCAACAAACAAACTACTTTTACTAATTACACCTGTTTTAACATCTTTGATAAGATCTATCACTTGTCTTACAACTTTATCAGGATCAATACCTATCTTTACATCTTCTACATGTGCTTTGTAAAGACTTGAGACCTTTTAAAAATTTTTGAAAAAAAATAGTAATATTGAATAAACGAATATTTTATAATTTGCATAAGCCAGATTTATTTGATTTACCTTAAAAATAGCACTAATTTCATAAGTTCCACCTAAAAAGAAATCTGGATCTTCATTAAGTTCTTTAAAAATTGCTTGATATTCATGATGATTCTTAATTCTATATTAAAAATAAATAATATTGTTATTATTGTTATTATTAATATTTTCATTAATATATATATATATATCTTCTGCTCTCACTCCTCCCTTTCATCCCCTATCTCTCATATCGAAAAGGTACCTTGCATTGATGTCTTCCTTACGATTTTCTTTTTCCATTTGCCTAACATTTTCTTTAATAAAAGGTTCCAATTGACTCAACGGTGAAAGCTCCTCATCATATATCCAAGATTGGGCTAATTGATTCAACGAGAACCAAGTATTTGACGAGATCCATCTAACCCTAGTCTGAAACGAAACACCATCCAACGGTCGTTTGATAACGCTTTTATTCCAGAGATTAGACACTAACCGATGTTTCCTAGCAATACTATCAACCTTTTCCAACCTAGACAATCTCGAATCTTCACAATCCTTGATTCTTCTAATTGTTTGTCTGATATTTGATCTACTGTCTTGATGAGAATTTGTGTGTACTTCATAATAATAACAGCTGGATGAAAAGGCGGTCCATGAACAAGGGCGCCTTGGAGGATTATAGAAATCTGATACGATTCCGAGAAATCGTTTATATGAGGCTCTTGCCTCGGCTGTGATTAGTTCTGGTGAGAATGTTGGCACTTCTTTTAATAATTTTTTCATGAAATCTTCTGCACGGGCAATGAATTTTACAGCTGCTCGTTTTGGGACCGATGGGTTTCTTGCAGAATAGTAATACTCTTCTCTTGCTTCTGGGCATAACAATTGTTCAGGGCCTTTATAATTGATTTCTGGATATTGTCTCAATTCCATATCCATCCATTCCTTACGTCTCAACACTGTATTTGCTCTGACAATATCTTTTGCAGCATCTACAAAATTAATTTGATTGGGAAAAAATGTAAAATCATATATATATATTCTTCTAATAATTTGAAAATATGAAAATATATATATATATACAAACATTCTAAGCAACCACAATAACCATCTTCAGTGGAACAAAAGCCGTCATAATTTTTGATAAAATCTTCATATTCACAATACATATGTTTCAATCGCTCAGGCGGCTCCAATAAATCATATTGTGCAGGGATACCTTTCATCCAAAATATTTCCTTGTTCAACAGCCTTCTTTCCAAATTTTTTTCATAAAATTTTCTCAGTTCAGCAACATAAATAGGCAATTCGGTGAAATACCAATCAATTTTTTCACGTAATTTCCGTTCCAACAATTGCCGCCTCCAGTTCTCTTGAGTTTTAGCTAATTCAATCTCTTTTTTCAATAACAATTGACGCTTACGAAGTCTGGCCAAATACAATTCGCCACATTTTTCTGGTGGTGGTTTTTTACATCGTTTTGCCCACCAGTCACGAGCATCACGTAAAAATTTGGATGGTTCCAGTTCACAGCACAAGAAATCTTCGTTTGTGATGGAGCTGTACCAAGCTTTAACAGACGCTTCAAAGATTTTCTCGCGTTCTCTATAGGAAATTATTTCATTGCGAATTTTCGATGCTGTTAATATTACATGACCACTACCGCCGCGACTACCACCACCACCACCACTACAATAATTATACGAACTACTTCCAGTACTTCCAGCCAATACAAATTCATCATATAATTTACGTGTTTTTAAATCCAATTCCAATCTTAACTTGTCAACTTGTACACCATCAGAAATCAATTTAAAATTCAAATCTTTTAATCTTTCTACTCTAGGCACGACGACTGTTTTCAATTCGTACATTATATCATCCAAGCTTTTACGTGATGCTTTATTTTTGTTGCTATTGCTGCTATTATTGTTATAGTTCGTACTGGTGTTATTATTGGAATTATTATTGTTGTTATTATTATTGTTGTTGTTGTTGTTGTTGTTGTTGTTGTTGTTGTTATTTTGTTCATCGGATAGACGAAGACGTTTACGAGCCAAACTATTATTCGTCTTGTTGGAAATATACTAAATAAAATAATAAATTGAAATAAATTGGAACGGTAAATAAAAATAAAAGTAATCGATCAATCAATCAACTAATTATAAATGATAGAATGCCTCTTGAATTTCCAATTTCAATTCTTTGGGAAACCACCATTCTTCCATGACACTCAACTCAGCCTTCAATCTCAACTCTTTGAAACAACGAAGTATAGCATGAGTTCGCTCAGCGCACGATTGTTCCTGTTCACGCTGTTTACGCTTACGTTTAGTAATCTCTTTTGTAAACCGTTCTGCCTGGCGTTTCTGTACATCCAAGTCCAGATATATTTGCGGATCCATATATTTTTGACGCCTCAAGTGTTCTAAATGGTTTCTCAAATAAAAGGTGCAATACATTCCAAGATCATATACAAATGTCTTCCATGGCTATATATATATATATATCAATAAAAAAATAATAATAATAAATATTCATTTTCTCTTCTCTCTGACTCTTTTTCTATCTCACATATAAAATGCTTACCTTTAGAACTTCGTATTCTTTTGATGTTAATGAGAATGAGGTTAAAGCACTCTTATTAATTAATTGTCTAACAACACAAAATCTACAAAGACGAACTTCCCAAACAGGTATTGGTTCACCGGGTTGGCCGCACACAGTACACACCTCAGTTACATAATATTTGTAAGATTCGACAAATTGAATTTTCCAATCGGAAACATTAAATTTTTTTGCATCTTTTTTGTTGTTATAATTATCTTTATCATCATCTGATAACCTTTTCCTTGATATTTTTGGAAGAACAGGTGCGTGAACTGGGTGCATGGGATAATCGTCATAATCATCATCAGCATGAACATCATCTTGATTGTTGTTGTCGTTATCATTGCTATTGTTATTATTAGTTTTGTTGCTATTATCATGATCATTATTGCTGCTTATTGTTTCAAGAGATATTATTTCATCATCCAGTGGATTGTATTCAGCAATTAATTGATGATAAAGAAAACGATATGGGCTATGTTGACCTCTTATCAAATTAAAAAATGAGCGAGAAACTTGTTCTATGGCAGCGAGAGATGGACCGTCTAGAAATTCTAATAGGTAAATCAATAATTCCAAAGGCATATTTTTTAGAACGCTATTTGATTTCCTGTGATGATGAGGCAGTAATCCATAATAAAAGGATTTTTTCTTGTGGTAATTATTGTTATTGCGATGATGATGATTGTGATGATGATTGCAATTGTGGTTGTAATTGTTATAATAATAGTTGTTACTGTAGTTGCTGTAATAGTTTGGGTTGTTATGATTATTGTAGTACTGGTAGTTACTGATGGTGTTTTTTCCTGAATATTTGTTATTATTAATATTAATAGGAATAGTATTAGGAATATTATTATAAATATTATAATTGTTATAATTATAATTGTTATTTTGATTATTATTATTATTATTATTATTATTGTTATTGTTATTATTATTATTGTTGTTATTGTAATTGTAATTTGTAAATATATTTTTAAAATCTTTTAAATCTTTTTTTATATGATTCCCATGCCCACCACCACTAATATTATAATCAAAACCAACGCCGAAACCAAAATTAAAACAAGTATTATTATTATTATTATTATTATTATTATTATTATTATTATTATTATTATTATTATTATTATTATTATTATTATT